GGGTACCATATTCGGTAGAGATGTGTATAGGAAACACACAAATGTAGGTTTCCTTTTTGAATTTCTTTTCTAACCTCACTTATGGGAGTAAAGTAGGAGTTAGGAAGTATATGATCCTAAGGAGCCTGCATCTGGCAGATGTTAAGCATCGGGACTAGAAATTGAGGAGAATTAGGAGAATTCTGGTTTTAGAACCATTATCCACGAGGACCGATTGGAAATTATTTTGGAATATTGTCAAATAGAATTGTTTGGGGCTAGATAAAAAGTTATCCCACTCTACCAGAATTCTCATGCTGTCATCATGCAAGCTGTAGAAGAAGATGGGCGAATTACTGAGGGAGTGGGAGTTCAGCACCATTTGTTAAGAGAAAATAACGCTTTCCTCGGTATTGCCTTCTTCTCGAGAATACTCTAATCCTTTCTCCAGATCGGGCTGTTACGAGATTTCGTGTTCATGTGGTAGCGCCTATAGGAGAGACCTATAGGTAGATACATAAGAGCTTTTATAAACACAAAACAGTCTGCAAGGGTTGGGGGGTCTAAAGCTTGGCTCGAACTGGACATTAGATTGATTGGTTTAATGACAAACGCTTGTTTGGCTTTTGGGACATGGCAGTTCGAGAAAGAGTAGGTAAACGATAGAAATCAACACAATAGCCAACACCCTGAATATAAAGAATGAGGGAAAGGAATTGAGAGGAAGCAACTTCTGTCTGTTGTATATGATTAGAGCGATGGGGGGTGCGAGAAGTACCGACGAGCAAGAGGAAGGTTGATTAGGCTCGAATCTGGTTTTGACTCTCACATCTCACAATTTAAGAGCAATGCCTTCACACAGCACGCATGCAATTGAATGCAATCACATGCGGCTACATTGCAGGATCATAGACATATGTGATTTGGGGAAGGGTGCAGCTGTTCGGTCAAAATTGTATCCGGTTCACTTTTCATCTGCTGCCATTTCACTCATTAACAAACGTTTAGGGAAAGTATGGGATAAAAGTTGTTTGACCTTGTTTTCGCAACTCGGTCATATTGGCAGGAAGACTTAGAGGAACGCACCTTGTCCGGAGTCCATTGTATGCATCATCATTTCCAGAGTAGGATCGTGTATATGGTACATTCGCAGACGGTCAAAGGATCGGCTTCACTCGTCTCTTTGACGAGTTGTTGAATGGTGCTAAGAATGGCGAGACTCCCTGACGATGCCGAAACGTCTGGGAATGTACCGCGTCCACTGTCCTACTCTGAATATGATGATGCATACAATGGACTCCGGACAAGGTGCGTTCCTCTAAGTCCCTCTACCGATATGACCAAGTTGCGAAAACAAAGTCAAACAACTTATACATCATCTTAAATTGTAGATATGAACACCAAAATGGTGCAAACTTCTGCTTGGTCTCATTCTTCTTCACCTTTATAGTGCTGGTGCGACCTGATTTTCGCGACTTAGTCGGAGATTCAGGGCGACCTTGTGTGTCCTCTGTCATAGTATTCGAAAGTTCCAGCATTGGACCATTGACGGGGTACATTACCAAACGTTTCGCTGGCATCGTCACGAGATAAATATGTGCTACATAGGCAGCGCAGAGTCTAATCACCTACTAAAAATGAAAATGCTTTCAGAATGACGAATCTCACAGCCCAGTCAAGAAAGGAAAATAAAGTAGTGAATATGTCTTCCCAACAATATAACCGAGTTGCGAAAACAAGGTCAAACAACTTCTATACAACGAAAGGAGACTGCGACCACACAAAAATCCACACCATCTTGGTCTTCATACCTTCGAAAGCATAGGATGTTCAACCAAATTATTGGATGTATCATTAAGTGGGAAAAGTTAGGCTACAAGAAGTAGGTAGAATTACCGCCAGCTAGCTTTCTGATCTTTGTGTTTGGTGAATTATTGTTAAAGCTCGTGTCCTGCTTTGACGATGCCCATCACACGATGGACTAAAGCTCAGCAAGTATTATCGGGGTCGCGGGGCTGTGCGCAGAGTATCTATTCATACGAATCTACAGCCACAACTTCGAGGCAATCTCACTTCAACTTCCATTCAGGCCAACTTGCTTCTTCAACATCATTCTATCAAGGGAGTCTTAGAAACCCAGTTTTTCTACCTACCAACCTAGCAGTATTAAAATCACAGTATTGGGGGTATGGAAAAAGCTGTTCTCTCACAACCTCGTTCATTTCACTCGTCATTCGGGGAATCTTCACTTGCCTGCCTTCATACTGGTTAAGTTTGGAGCAGCCCGCCAAAGCATGGGACTCTGGAATCTGTGGGCAATTTAATTAGGAAGACAATGGAGCATTCTTGGATTCGTGTTTGTTGACAACTTCTTAAGCAATGATTTCACAACTTTTTTCCAATCGCGGTTCAGACAAACGGAAGGCACAGATTCATCGAATCCTTAGGGCTACACAAATTAATTATTTTATTAACAAAAATTATTCAATGCAAGTAATCTGCACTCAAATTAACTATCACAAGGCCAGAGATTTGCTTTCACTTTCCGAATCTCTTTCTCCAACCTTGTCAAACAAAATGGCGGATACGGAGTCTTTGCTTCTCTTTCAACCGGTAAGCCAAAGGGAATCTACTTCAAGATTACCTTGGAGGTATAATTTGGGAGTCATACCATCAAAAGTTCTTTCAATCTCAATTGGGGCATCAAATGGGCAGGAGGTAAGAAAAGGTGTAAAAATGAATTAATGGGTCGTCTAATTGGGGAGCCCCATTATATTTGTTTGCTAGCCGGATGGCGTCATGACGACTCCAAGTCGAGCTGTAGCAGTTCGTGGGTCTGTGCTTACAGAAGGTCAGGGATTCTCGTCAGGGATTGCAAATGTCGCCTGCCACGTGGCTGGCTAGGTGATGCGATTGTGCGTCTTCACACAAGCAGATGAACATGCCCACAAACACACCTGTGTTCAGATTAGCGTGTTGGCACCACTCCTCCACTGTCGGCCAAAAGAGGAGACAGGAGATGTCTAGGAATTGCACATGATTCACATAAAAGTGGGCTGATTGCCTTCGATTTACTCCCTACGAATTTCGCTCGTTCTCCAAATCTATTCAGAGTAAATTCGTTGAATACAGGGCTCTGGCGGCATCCACGGAAGCTGTATAATTCTTTTCATAACAAATTGCTCAGTATTCCCTTAATTTAAGTCAGGAAAATATGCCAATCGCCATCTTAAGCCCTTTCCAGCTTGCCACTGCGAGAGCACTGGCTGGTAAAGCGTAGCTACATCCGGTTTCAAAGGTTTTTCTCGAGTTGATGCCAAATCTACACTAATGAACCGCTTTCAGAAGTGGTTCGTCCTAGTTTCACAACTTGATCGTGTTAGGGTGACCTAATGAGAGCAACTTATCCGACGCCCTCCGTCATAGTAGTTATGATAGCTGCCAGAATTTGACCATAGACTTGGTACATTTCCAGAAGTTTTGCCGGGTTTTCAGTGAATCTAGACCCTCTTAGCATCAAACTAAGACTCGTAGGAAACATGTGAAGTCCATCCCTTGACCAACTTTATGCCGAACATGGGATGTGGTCACCAGATTTCGTTTAAGGTGATAAGTGGACTGGTAGTTGCATTTTTCCGCAATCACACCAGTAGACATTAGGTTGCCACTTAATTTCACATAGTCTTGCTTCCCAAAAGGTATTATCAACCAGAGTGGACTGTAGTTTCGACTTCGTCTAGGCCTTGGTAACACCCCCTTCGCGACTCGAAACATGACAATGCAGCTGATAATCTCGACACATCAACAACTACCCCACATTTTTACGAGTGCCATTGAGCAACCGGGCAAATGTGAATTTCAAAGAAGGCCAGGCATTTTCCCATATCACATTGGCGCAGAGGTTGGCGTTTCGAGAGTATACGCTGCATTGTCATGGTTCGAGTCCCGCTAGGGATGCAGATGAGACCAGTAGAGGCTAGGTCGAAACTGTAGTCCGGTCCAGAATGGATGAGAATACCTTTTTGGAGGCAAGGCAAAGTTAAATTCATTAGAAACGCAAATTTAATTCATATTATTGCGGGAAAATTCAATTGCCAATCCTTCATAACCTTAAACAAAATTCGGTAAACACATATCATTAATATGATTTGCTAGTAGTCTCATAAACCCGTTTAAAATGAAAAATTAATACCAAACGATTTTTAATGCTATGCATTCTGATAATTTCTACCAACCCCGATCCTCGTATCTCGCATCCTCGCCATCAAGATTTCTACCTTGTTTGTATTCGACTAACTTAGAGGTGCGTCCTTTTTAGCGAGTTTGATGTGATTTTATCACAAATGTTGGTTTCCTTGCCCCTCCTCTTAATTTGTCGCAATTGCCGATTCAACTCAGACGGTTTAGTCTGCAAACCACTTATTTTCGTTTTATAAGTGGGTTTTCAAGTGATTAATGTGTTGAGATTACACGCTGACCTACGACAACCCAAGTTCAAGTCCCGATGAAGGCAGTGAGGATACCTAGGCGGGGTCAAAACTGCAGTCCATCTTGGATTAGAATATATTTTCGAAAGCAAATGTATGTGAATCTCAATGCAAACATGAGGTCTATTCATATCACTGTAGGAAAATTCAACCATCCATCCTTCATCTCCTTTAACGAAACAGGGTGAATATAGATCTTATATGCAAACCACGTCATTCAACTACTATTACAATCTTCCTCCTTCCATCGGGGATTCCTTTTTTATCTTACTGTTTGATTGAGAACATCTGGGAATGTACCAAGTTTATGATCCGACGCTGGGAATCATCATAACTAATGTCGTAGAGGATTTCGGACAAAGTGCGTTATCTACAACACCACCAATGATAACACTTATATGCAGCGAAAAGGGACTGACCAAAATTGATACCATACAATATCGTTTTTCATATATCTACGTAACAAACAGCTTATTCAAGGCATTGGGCTCACTCCGAATATGATAAGACTAAGCGTATCGGGAAGTCACTGAGTGATTGGTTGCGTTTAATCCCACAAGAGCTGAACTGTTCATTCATGTAGCTTACGATACATACTGTCGTGTTAAGACGAGAAAGAGTTAAGAGGTTGTGCTACAAAGTTTGAAGAAGCGATTGGTGTCAGCTAATTGTTAGCACAAACTTCAATCAACGCTGTCTTGATGGCAAACTGGGTTTCATAAATTCATGCTGTTGTACATACATTTTATTTCGGTTGTAATGGCAAATAGGAGAGATTCGTAGTAGTCCTCCCTCTTCCCTTAAGGATAAAAGTATCAATTTAAGTTGCGAATTTGCTCAAATGCTTAGAGACATTTCCTGAATTATAAACTGAATCATAAATCTGAAGACCAAGATGCTGTGGTCCCATGTCTCAGTCTCAATTTACTGTTTTGAAGTGGCTTGGCCACGTTTTTGCAATTTTGCCGTATTGTCAAGGTAACCTGATTAGGCGCACATTGTACGAAGTACTCGGCTGTAGTATTTCTAGCAATTCCCAGCGTCGGACCGTGGACCTAGTACGTTCCCATGCATGCATGTCCTGTATTGAAGACTTGCTAAGCTCCATACCTAATAGGGA